AAAAACAGTAACAAATCTCACGATTTGTTGTGAGACGTTACTGGTGCCCACTTGAGCAAATGAATGAACAACAGGAGGGCAGTGCTACAGTGTATAACAAAAAGCAATTCTTGAGGATCCCGAATTCATGCATCACTATGAGAAATGAGTTTAACTAGCCTCATCATAACAAAAAAACATGCATATATACATAGAGTTTCCATCAATTCTTCCCTCTTTGCTTCTATACTTCTGAAATCTCCCCCAAAGACTCCTGTAGCCTATGGTACTCATCCTTATCTACAAATTGCTGATTCTTTCACAAAAATTAAGTAGACTTTCATGTCATAGCCAGTTGCAGACTATAGTGTCTTTCAGATCATGCATTTAAATGGCTTTTTTTTCCCCTGAAGGAAGCTGAAGCAGATAGTTTCACGTCTTACTAATCAAAAATATCAAGAGAAAAGAAAAGGGAATTTAAATAGTAGATAGTTGAACAGCAATATACTATAATTTCCTGGCCCAAGTTCTCAAAACCTATAAAAATGTTAAAAGTGCACTTCTTTACAGAAAAGAGTTCATCTGAAATGAAACATAAACTTCTATTTCACTTATATTTCATTGTTTATAACCCATGAAAACGAAATTATTATTTAAATATATGCCGGCAACACATGTATGTCTACATCCTGAGGAACAAAGACACTGTTAATAGCATTTAGAGTTTTTGGCTTCTGGGAGGACAGGAGTCGGAGAAAATACCTTTTCTGGCTAATGTCCACATGTAAATGAGACATTATGCACATCTTTTTTTCTTTTTTCCATTTCCCCTTCTCTTAGCAAACTATTCAAACAGTTTTCTATTTTGAAGGGAAAGTAATAGGTATGTCATAATCTTTAAAATTAAGTTTTACCTGTTAACTTTATTAATATTCTCATTTTTATTCAAATTCAACCCTCCTTTTCCCCTTTAACATTTCTCAAAATATCGCCTTAAAAATATTAATTCAACGGACCTAATTCAAAACCTAGCAGCTTTTGGCAGAAATGTGAATGGACTATGCAGTAAGCTACGGCGCTGTGCCCCTCCCCCCCAGGGAGGGAAAGGGTGCCTGTTCCTTCTACCCCCCCTGCCCCCCCCCCCCCCCCCGCATGGTGGCTGCTGCCTCAGAGCCTATTGGACAGCTAGGTATGAGCTGGCAGTGACAGGGCAACTGTGGCCTCATGGAATGGGGGGCAGAACCGGTCCCGGCCCGCCAAGACCATGAGTTACGCCCCTCCTCACAAGAAGCTCTCCGGCACAGCCATGGCCCCAGAGGCACACAAACCAATCTTGGAACTACGTGGCTTTTGGCAGAAATCCCTCCAGACTTAATTAGTAAAATATCAGAAATCCAAAATCACGTGGCCCCTATCGCGAATGTGCAACATCATATGTTCTTCATAACCAGCAACAGAAAACATTATTTTATGATGCCTTTTCAGCAGGTCTGATTGTTAGGGGAAAATTCCAAATAATAATGGTGCATCTTTTGTCTAAATAATGAATGGAATCAAACTGGAGAGAGAGTTCAGTGGAAATCATCTGCCTCACAGGCAGGGGGAGGGGTAAGATGAGGGTTATATTGGGGTTCCTGGTGGTGAAAAATATGCACTGGTGAAGGGATGGGTGCTTGATCATTGTATGACCAAGACTTGAACCTGAAGCTTTGTAACTGTTCTCACGGTGATTCAATAAATAAATTAAAATATATATATTAATTCTGTTCTTATTAAATATTAAATTTTTAATAATTCAGAAATCTCATAACTATTAATTATGCTAAAACTTCCATTTTCAAGGACAAGAACAGTGAGTGTGCAAGTTTTTCGCCAGAAAGGTATATACAGCAGTTAAAAATAATACATCAATAAATTATATATTTTAGTTTACTCTAAAATAAGTTTCGATAAAAATTATATTTCAATAATTTATTGATTCCTACGCAATCTAAATGACTATACTTGTGTGTGTCCGTGGGTGGGTAGGTAGTAAGTGAGTGCACACAAGTACTTTCTACACTTTGTTTCCTAGCCCAATTCCATGATAACTAAGAAATAAATTTTTTTTTAGGATATTGCCTCATAGGTTTTGCTGTGTCATATCAATTATCTTAAAACTATCATTTCAGTCAGCTTTTTAAAACTGTATCTACAATCATCCTACTTATGATCCTGATTCAGTTTTGTTTTTGTTTGGGTGCAACCCCCATAAACTACCCACGAAGGTCTCAACAGAAAACATAGGAAAAAGGAAAGGATACAAGATTCAAAGTTCCCAAGAAAAGCAAAGTTTTCCAGAATACCATAGACTGGTACATTATCATTTAGAATCAAAGCAAGAATAAAGAGTTTAACAAATACAAGTAAAGCAATGCATTACCACCCAACTGACATTGCAAGAGGTAAGGCTGGAGAGAGAACAAAGGGACTAAGATGCTCACATTACACGTGGCCTATCCCAGTTTGACATTTTGATGTATGTATCCCAATACAATTCGTATTATTTGCTATGTCAGCAATCTATCACAATATTCTTCTAAATAATCTAACACAGACTTTAAAAGATTCCCTTAAAAACTTGAGAAAGAGTAAGTATGCATTTTAGAATATACTGAAAGAAAATTTTGTTCCCAATGTAGCAGCTTAATTTCAATGGCAAAATACTTCAAAGAAAGCATCAAATGAATAATAGTCACACACAACACTAACAAAATGTATAGTAGCAGATAACAAACAACAGCTAATAGTATTAAAATATTCAGAAATATACAGAAAATAAAAATTAATATTCATCATTTAAAAGTTTTTAACATCAGGACACAAGGAGCAAATGTTATTTCGGATGTATATGGAGCAGTTGTTAAAAAAAAAAAAACTGATGGCCCAGTGGAACAGTGCAGGAACTTAGATATATTTTGCCCTGCAAAAATATGGTTACAAGTTCAAATCCCCAGTGTTGCCACATGTACCTAATGCAACCTGGAAGCTCTGTATGTGCAATTCCCAGAGTTGCAGGAGATTTCTAGCCAGACCAAAGGCAGGCAGATGAAGGACTATGAAAGGGGTGTAGCCCCTAGTTGACACTTCTAAAAGAATGTGCAAGTGCCATGGCCAGGAAGGGTGACTGCTGGTAAATTCAGATATGTGTCAAAAACTGTAACACAAAATGAAAAGATTCAAAATAACACAGAGCTGAAATCAAAATAGGCACAGGCGCCAGAGCAATAGGACAGTAAGCAGGGAACTTGTCTTAAATCCCCAGCACCCCATTTTGGTCCTCAGAGCCACACCAGGAGAGATTCCCTGAGTGCAGAGCCAGAAGTAAGGCTTAAGCACTGCCAGGTGTGCCCCCAAACCAAAAGCAAAAGAAATAAAATAAGCACACAGGTCAATCAAACAGAACCAACAATCAAGAATTAAACCCTAAGAGTTTATGATAAGAGAGCCACAACAATAAAGTGGACCAGAAAGGTGGTCACTGAATTATTTCACACATATGTGGGATAAGAGAAACAAAGGGAACAGACAAGACCAGATGAAAACAAATTCTTGAACAGAGACCACAAAACTGAATTTACTAGAAGGGCAGGAAGAAGGGGGAACTGAAATAGAATTATGCATGGATGGTGGTGAAGGGATATTGGTACTCTGGCACTGAGCAGAGTATGGTAACACATATTTAGAAAAGCATGAAATTGCATACCTATGTAAATAAGCAGACCAAAATTTAAAGACAAAAAAATGTGCATATCTATATTACAGAGATATCCTCAATAACTGCTTGTAGGCACAACTCGAAGAAGGCAAAACTCAGTGAGCACTCTGGCTATGTGTGTGACACAACAACCTGATGTGTGATCCAGGTGACCATCACTGCCAGACATATACGTGATCCCTGCAATCACCAGTACATGATAAACAAGATAAGGGGGAGAGAGAAAAAAAAAACACTGAAAATTATGACACACATATGCACTACTCATCTATTTAAAAAAATATATATTTTTATTAAGGCACTGTGACTTACAAAGTATATCAAACAACTCAACAGTTCTGTGTTCGTTTGACCAAACACTTTAAACATCCAGCATAGTTTTTGAATTACTGTAAACTTTCCTATTGACTGTCTCTTACTGAAAGAAAAAATAAACTCAAAAAATAATTTAGAAAATAATGATAATAGAATACTGATGTAATATATTTGATTATATGAAGAAACAAATGATTTTCGATATGTAACAGAAGTGTGGTTAATGTCCACATAGAAATAAAGACATATTTACCTATATGAATCATTTTTATTTTAAAATTTTATATGAATACTTAGGTAGTACATACCTCTACACATAGACAGCCTAGTGGTTTTTTGGTTTGTTTTGTTTTATTCTGGGGCCCACAACTGGCTGTCGGCTCTGAGATCAGAGATCAATCAATCCTGATCCCTAAAATCCCGTTTTGAAGATTTAGGAAGCATTTCCAAAACAAAATATTCTGAGTATAACTATGAGTTAAGTTCACATTGTTTTTTTAAGTAAGAGCTTTAACTAAGTAAGCATCAACATACGTGTATTTTCTAAATATCATAATATTAAAAATGTCAAAAAAGTGAGGGAAAGCTGTCCCTTTCATGTAACAAAAATAATTTTTACACTATGAAAATACATTACAATGTCCTTAAGAATGTTCCAACTCTCGAGCTGCTGTGTGCTGCATTCTCTACGAGTGGGAAGAGGACCCTTCTAGCAGTGCTCAGAGGACCATGTAGTACCCAAGATCGAACCCAGACCTCTTGCATGCAGAGCATGTATTCTCGCTCACTATGTCCTCTCTGACACTAAATGCTGCTATTTTTAATAGTCATTTTCACATTCCCAAACCTTTACAATAAACCTCATTTGAAAAGGCTTTTCTCTGGACAACGTAGTATTACAAAGACTTTAAAATCTATTTCTAAAATAATAAACATAAATGTATCTTACCCCATCATAGAAAACTTTTGCACAGTCCTTTGCTAATTTTCCAAAAAACAGTATACTGATGGTGTTCGTCTCTGTATTTGAATTTCCTTCTTCTATAGAGAAAAAGACACACACTCCTTAGATATTTTTTTTTACACACATACAAGCAAAATAATGATAATTATATTCTAAGTTAAACAAAAACTAAACTATACATGCTTCAAATGTAATTATGGGTAAGAATATTTGAAATGTTAGGAACTCACTTTTTAATATACATTTCAAAACTAAAGATTGCTATATAGCACTAAGACCTAAACTTTCAAGTTTCTCTTGACTACATTTTACAAAAATTTTTACAAATATGACATTATAAAATAATCAGTATTTATTTTCCCACATTCATAATGGAAAGAATTATGCAGCAATAATTGTTTAATTTTTGTAGTACATAACATCACTCTCCAAGTATTTTATTTTTAATGAACTTTAGCTATCTACAGCTGGAGTGATAGCACAGTGGGTAGGGCTTTTGCCTTGCATGTGGTCGACCTGGCCGACCCGAGTTTGATTCCTCCGCCCCTCTCGGAGAGCCTGGTAAGCTACAGAGAGTGTCTCGCCCACTCGGCAATATTCGATATGCAAAACACAGTAACAACATGTCTCACAATGGAGACGTTACTGGGTCCGCTCAAGCAAATCGATGAACGATGGGAAGCTAGTGCTAGTGCTAGCAATCTACAATTCTCTAATTATATTTTGTGCTTTTGTTTCTGTTTTTGGGCCACACAGGCAATGCTTAGGGCTTATTTCTGGCTCTGCACGTGGGAATCACTCCTGGTGATACTAAGGGGATCATATTGTGATATTGGATCGAACGTAGGTGGGCCATATGCCAGGCAAGTATCCTACCGACTGTACTATCTCTCTGGATCCAGTACATTAAGTTTTAATCTAATCAATTGTGGTCTCCTCCCCTTCAGTATCTATATAGGGAAGAATAAAAGCACTGTGAATACAGTTAAGACAGTTATGTAAAAAACAACTTGGGAAATAAGAAACACAGATTCTACAAGTAACCGAATTTGAATATTCCAAGCTTTGGGGAAGAAGCTCATTAGCCATCCTTTCTCAGCAAGCATCTCTTTTAAGTAGTAATAGGAAGTTGGATGCTAAGATTTGTAAAGTTTCATTCAAACCTGCTTTCAACAAAAACAATAAACCCTGCTATCACATTAGACATGCATGCATTTATGAAGTACACAAAAGATCTTTCCACATTTCTCAGTCTTGTATGGCTCAGAACTCTGGCATCTGCTAGGCTATCGAGTCTAACTGCACCACTTAGTACACCCACCTATCATCTCCGTTCACTTAGCGCTTTGGTACAACACCTCAAAACAAATATATACACAAATTGAAAGATGACTTTCCCCAAACACAATGATTCATAATGAAAATGTAATATTTGCTTCTTTAATAGCCTAAATGCTCTATCAAATGTCTATTTTCAGCCATGACTGAGTAGCATAACTGGATTTATTCTTCAGTCATAGAAAAAAATGTAATATTTGCTTCTTTAATAGCCTAAATGATCTATCAAATGTCTATTTCCAGCCATGACTAAGTAGCATAACTGGATTTATTCTTTAGTCACACAATGTCCTGAAAATGGGGAACAATATAGAAAACTAGAAGAAAAAAGGTAGGAATCAATAATGATGTTAGAGAGCAGAAGGAAGAGGAAAGTAATCTCAAGAAGAAAAGTAAAGATGACTGGGAGATATCTCAGTGGGAATGGAGCTAATGCTCTGCATGCAGGAGATGGGAGTTTGATCTCTGAACCTACACAGTTTGCCAAGTATCACCAGGAACACTAAGTAGGGAGTAGCACTGTAGCACTGTCCTCCTGCTGTTCGTTGATTTGCTCGAGTGTGCACCAGTAATCTCTCCATTGTGAGACTTCCTACTGTTTTTGGCATACTGAATATGCCATGGGGAGCTTGCCAGGCTCTGCTGGGGGGGGTTGGATACACTTAGTAGTTTGCGGGGCTCTCCGAGAGGGGCAGAGGAATCAAACCCGGGTTGGCCACGTGCAAGGCAAATGCCCTACCCACTGTGCTATGGCTCCAGCCCGAAGTAACCCCTAAAAACTGCCAGTTGTGACCCAAATTTAAAAAAAAAGTGCACAAATTTTATGATTTCATCTTTTCTAAATAGCTGCATAGTTTTCTATTGTGTTGATGTATCAAAGTTTCTTTAACCAGTCATCTGTTCTCGGGCATGATGCATCAACTTGGAGAGTATCATGCTAAGTGAAATGAGTCACAGAGAGAGAGAAACAGACACAGAATGAATGCATTTGAGGAACATAAAGTAACAGAATGGGAGACTACCACCCAAGGATAATAGATATAAGGGCCAGGAGGATTGCTCCATGGCTTGGAAGGTGGCCTCACTTGTTGGGGGAAAAGTCAACTGGGATAGAGAAGGGACCACTAAATGAAAGATGCTTGGAGGGCTTGCTTGGGATGGGAGATGCGTGCTGAAAGTAGATGACAGACCAAACATGATGGCCACTTACTACCTGTATTGCAAACCGTAACACACAAAAGAAGAAAAAGAGTAAAAGGAAATGTGCCTGCCACAAAGGTGTGTTGGGGTGTGGGGGTGGGGAGTTGGCAGAAGGGATACTGGGAATATTGGTGGTGGAGAATGGACACTGGTGGGTACTCGATCACTGTATGACTGAAATGTAATCGTGAAAGCTTGTAAGTCTGTAACTGTATCTCGTGGTGAGTCATTAAAAAATATTAAATTTTTTTAAAAAATTAAAATGTGTGAACTACATGAAGCAAAAAATAAACATACAGAGTGTGCGGCAAAACTAGTAGTAACGAGAAGGGAAGAGGGAAAAGGCATAGGTCAATCAAGGGAAAGAGGTCCATCATAAGATAAGTGATAAAATTCACAGCCTATGTGACAAAACTAGTTTGTAACAATGCCCAATGGGACACAATGTGAACAAAACAAAAATTTTTCAGTTAAGTTTTTATGAAGGCACAGTGGTTTATAAAATGATTCATAGGTGAGTTTCAGGCATAGAGTATTCCAACACAAATCTCACCACTGGTAACAACTTCCCTCCACAATTGTCTCCAGATTTCCTCCCTGACAAGCAAGTTTGGGTGTTGAGTTTAGATATCACACTTTAAGGGTTGTTGGCGCTGTGCTTCAGGTATATACATATACTCCACCTCTTCCACTGATACACCCGAGTCCCTGATCCTTACCTGTCACCTTTCATCTGCGCCTTCTTAGATGCCCCCTTGATTCTTGTTCTTTTTCTACACCCTCCCCTCCCCAACTTCTTTGCTTCACTGTCTTTCTCATTTCTGTAATATAAGGTCAAGGGGAATGTAGGCATCCCTCCTTTGAAACCTTGCAAGACCCTCATTCTGTTACTCTATATACCAGAGACAATTAACACACCTAGAATCCTTCTTCTCGCATACTTCACTTAACATGGTATCCTCTAGTTTATCCAAGTTGTATCACATTGCATGATCTCATTCTTGCAATACACAGTATTGCACTATGTATATATACACCACATCTCTACTATTCATTCATCTGTTATTGGATACCTCGGTTGATTCCATATCCTAGCTGTTATGCTAAGTTCTGTAATGAATAATGGTGCAAATATGTCCTTTTCATTTTTTCTTTTTTGTTTCTGGGCCACAACCAGTTGTGCTGAGGGTTTATCTGGCTCTATGTTCAGGATCGATCCTGGCAGTGCTTGGGGGACCTTATGGGGTACAGAACAGAGATGGAACCAAGGTCAGACACATGCAAGGCAAATGCCCTACTCACTATAGTATAATTCTAGCCCCAGCATCTGTCCCTTATGAGTGGATGTTTTTGTTTTGGAGGGTAGATGATATCAAGAAGGAAAATTATCAGGTTATATGAAAACTCCATTCTTTTCTGAAAAATCTCTATCCTGTTTCCAAAGGTGTGGAACCAAACATAATCCCACCAGCAACGGACAAGAGTCCCTTTGTCAACACATTCCGACCTCACCAACATAGAACATAGATTATTTCCACTTTTTTTTTTTTTTTTTTTTTTTTTTTTTTGGTGAGAGGGGCACCTGCACCGGGTAGTGCTCAAAGAAAGAAAGATAGATAGATAGATATTTCTGCTGTGCTTGTATGTGTATATATAAAATTACCCAATATGGAGGATTGGAAAGGGTTCCAGTCTTGCATTGAGCCGCCAGATTTGATCCCATATGGTACATTTGATACCATATAGCACCCCACATGATACATGAAGCCCTCCCAGGAGTAATCCCTAAGCACAGCCAGAAGTAAGTACTGAGCACTGTCAGGTGTGGCCCCAAAACAAAAACAAACCAAATTTCAGATTACAGACAAAACCGTAAGCTAAAATGGTCTATTACATACCTTGTAATTCAATCTTCAAAGCAGCTGTTCTGTTCCCACCATTAGTTAAAGAAGATGTAAGTGAAAGCTTTCCCTGAAATGAGAAATTACAGACAGGTCAAAAGGCCTTATTGTAATAACATGATATAAATAATATGAATTGTTTTTGAAAATCAATAAATGTTATCTTTTAAGAAAAATCTAGATTCAACTCACCTTTCATGACATTTTTTGAAGAAAAATCAGAGGCATTAAAACTTCTCCAGGTTATAATTTAATTTCTTTTAACAATATTACTAGCTAAATTTTTAGCAGTTCCTCATTATATAAGGATTAGTTAGCTCAGCCTCTTTTACATACCTAATCCTTATAAAATCCTAAATATAAAATACTAAATACTAATTCTCATAAAGTACTAAAACCTAAGATACTGTTTCCTATCTAAGAAAAAACAATGAAGTCTGGGGGAAGAAATAATTGTAAAGTAGATAGATCACTTGCCTTGCATGCAGTTAAAAACCCAGATCTAATCCCCAGCATCACATACTGTCCCCCAAATCCTGCCAAGAGAGATCCCTCACTATAAGGCCAAGAATAAGCTCTGGGCACTGCCAGATTTTACCCAAAATCAGAAAAAGAAGGAAGGAAGGAAGGAAGGAAGGAAGGAAGGAAGGAAGGAAGGAAGGAAGGAGAAGAAATGAAACTGCACAAAGAATAAAATTAAAATTTAAGGAAAAATTTTAAGTGTATATGATTCACCTATAATTAAGAACTGTGCAGATGAGTAAATGAACTAATGCAAAATTAAAGTTCAATCTTTGTTTTGCTTCTATAATCAACTCAGTGAGGCTTAAGGTTCATTAGATCTAAGTTAAAATGAAGTACTTAGTGTAGATTCTTTCTACAATTTCTTCTGGTTCTAAAACTTAATGATTATGGGTTGGAGAGAGAGTTCAAAGCAAATGTTCTGTAAGTCAAAGGCCTGGATTTGCACCTCTGTATCACACGGTCGCCTGAGCACTGCAGGAAGAGAAGACCCACCATTCCAAGGCAGAGAGTGCATCACTGGCTGCACTGGCTGTGGCCAAACCCCACCATGCCCTCAAAAAAATAAACCCCAAACTTAATAATTTTATGAACAAATATATGATGGCGCTCTTTGAAAACTCCTCTACATGAGTATAGTTTAACAAAATTTTAAAAATATACTGTATATCTCTCACACTAATATTTTAAACTTTGATATAACCAATCCCAAATTAATAGTTGTGACTATGCATTAATTTAAAACATAAAGTTAGAAATCAGAAAAAAATACACATGGCCATGAATTACACATTCCATCAAAAATAAATGAATATGAGGGACATGGCTCAACAAACTAGAGTACAGGCTTTGCATGATAAAGGCCCAGGTATTACTCCTGGTATCACATGGTCCAGGTCTTACTCCTGGTACCACATGGTACAGTGCCAGAAATATTACCTGAGCAGGGAGTAGTCCCCAAGCAACAGTGACATGCTGAGCATGATCCAAAAAAGCAAAAAACTAAAAGAGCAGACATCAAAATTAAGAGTCAGGAGCCAGTAAAGTGGTCAGAGGAACTGGGATCTATCATCAGCACCAAATTGCCCTCCCACCCATTGCCTGGTACCCTCCAACGACCACCAGGGAGGCCCTGGCACAGAAGCAGTATAGAATTCTCTGAACTACTGAAGAAACTGGCCATGTACTGCCTCTGGATTCCTTGAGCACCACGTGGGAGAAACTCCTCAAATAAGATGATTAAAAAGTAAACATAATTCAATAATGGAGTACATATATACTTGAATTAAATAAGTTAATAAACATTAACTGTTATTATTTTCCTATTTTTCTACCACTTTCCCATCTTTCCCTGACATAATATAAGTCCAGGATCAATTCTCACCTATATTGCTGCAGTTGATTTAACTAAATATCCTTTCTCTAATTTTGCTCTCTGAATAAATTCTTTACCAAGAAGACAGAGTAGGGGGTATGGAGCCTCCAGCTGGTGAATCTGTATCTGTGAGGCGAGTGCATCAGCACCCTAATGGCACCTTCAGACTTCCAGATACCCCAAAATTGCTGCTGTGTCTTTGGCCAGACCCCAAAAATTTGGGGCAAAGTTTACTAAGAAAGTAAATGGCCAAAATTTAGGTATGTGGGAGACACACCCACAAACCACCTCCAGTTCAGCTATATGATTGGAGGCAAGGCCTCTCTTGCTCCTGATCAAACTGTTTAATGGCCATGATCCCAGAGACTCAGAGACAAATCTCGGAACCCAGTGGCTTTTGGCAGAGACGCAACCAGTCCCTGTGATGGGCTATCGGCGCCAGACCACCCAGGGGAGAAAGGGTGTTGTCCCTCAGCCTGCTCATCCTTGGCGGCTCAGTGGCCGCCATCCTCCAGAAGCCAATGGACAGTTAGGTTTGGGCCCGCAGTCATGAGACACATGGGGCCTCAAGGGATGGGGGTGGAGCCGGCCCTTTCCTCCCTGCCTCAACGAGACTCCAAGTCATCGCCCACGAATGGCCTGTCTGGCTCCCGATCAAGGTGCTTCACGGCCACGATCCAAGAGACTCAAGAACAAATCTCGGAACCCAGCAGGTTTTGGCAGCAATCCCTCCAGATTCAGTTGTTAAAATTTCGGAATTCCAAAATGCATGGCCACTACGGCAGCTGTGCGACATCATATGTTATTCATAACCAGCAATAGAAAACAAAGTGTCTATAGTTGCCTTTTTGGCAGATCTGAGTGTTGGGGTAAAATCCCAAACAATAACGGTGGGTATGGTGGCAAAATATTGAATGTAATCAAAGTAGAGAGAGAGTAATGTGGAAATCATCTGCCCCACAGGTACGGGGACGGTGTGGGATGGGGGGCATACTGGGGGATTTGGTGGTGGAAAATGGGCACTGGTGAAGGGACTGGTGTTTCATTGTATCACTGAGACTTAACCCGAAAGCTTTGTAACTGCTCTCATGGTGATTCAATAAACAAAATTATAAAAAAAGGCAAAAAAATAAGTAAGGTGGAGTTCATGACCAATTCAATCAGCCTAAGCAATGGGTGAATAAATAGCAATACTCATACCAAAAAAAAAAGAGAGTAGTTTGACCCAGAATGAATTATAAATTCAGTGGTTAAGATATGTCAAGTGTCTCCTATAGGCTTTAGTATAACATCAAAGTTTCTCAAAATGCATGACAACTGTTTTAACTAAAATGAAGATATAAATCTAGAACCAAAAGCTCTTAACCCAAAGTTCTGAACCAAGAGCTCTCCTATGTTCCAATATCACAATACTAATAACACACTAGATTAGGTAACCTGCCAAACAAACCCCAAAACAAACATTCCATCAGCAATCTATTTATTGGTTTTACACCTCCAAAATTCATCCCACAAATAATTCAGAGAAGAATTCAACATTGTTTGCTAAGTGTACTAAATATTATTAGCATCAGAATATTCCATCCCAAATGTTTTAACAGATAAAAAACATTTCTAAAACAATTCTCATAAATAAGCTCAACATAAAACTTAGCATTCCTTTACGAAGACAAAAAAAATTATGAAGTATGAAAATGCTTACCTGAACGTATTTCTTGCTATAATCACAACCTGGATGCAGTGATCTGAAATCTACTTTCTGTAATTTACTTAGTGTTTCCACTTCAGGCACCCCATTGACTTCTTTTATTAGTTCAAGTGGCATATCAAAACCGCTTCACAGTGCTGGCCAAAGCAAATTTACTTAGGGAAGTGAGAAATGTGCTACTGAAAACACAAATATCAAAATGTAGTCAATAAATTGTTTTACACTTTGAGTTTTAATTTCCTTTAGTATTCACAGTTGGGCATTGGGGTAGAAGGTGGCTCACTCAATAATTATTTTACTGCAAGCGTCAATACAGGCACTCTCCTGAAGCACTGACATTTAATCCTTTTGACTTTAATTTTGTATTTGGAAAAAGTGCTTCTAAAAAACCATTTTTGATGTGTGAAAACCACACCAACAATTACCTTTACTACTCTGCTTTAAAATACACAAACTCTCGGGAAAAAGAGGGTGGGAGAGGGGCTGGGTGCTTTGACGATAAAATATTATGTACAAAAAGTCTGCACCAAAGCTCATTCCTCTGAAATACATATTGCCTCCATCCTCTAACCCCAACGAAAAAGGAACAATGAAACTAATGTCAACTTGTGCCCTAGAGGTTCCATCTAACTTCTCAATTCTCCTGACTGGGGCATCCAAGAGTTGTCAACCCACCCCAAGCCCAAGTATCCTAAGGGCTGAGCCAAACAACTCCAATGGGCTAGTCAGAAAATGTCAAGCAGATGTGGAACACAGCAGGCTCACGATGAAGACAAACAAAAAGAATTTCCATGCGAGGACGACCCCAACAGTTTATTTAAAACGAAATCGGCCCTGCTCTAATAAAAAAAATAAGAATGAAAAGAAATTCGCATGCGGATCAAAAAATTCACATGCTGATCCACAGTACCAAGTCAAAACCTACTTGGAAAGTCACTTACCCGCGCGCTGGAAACAAACACGGAAGCGTTTAGCGCGGCGCTCGCGTGACGTCACGCGCACGCCGGCGGGCCCGCGTCCGCGCACGCGCACACCGAATTCGGTGCTGCCGGGCGGCCGGCTCCCGCTGCTTAGGGAGGGATGCGCTGCGTATAGTTTGCGGAGCCTAAAAAAAAGTTTCTGGGCAGTTTCCCTGTTAACCGAGCGATCACGCGGAAGCGGTTGCTGGGACGGAGCGGGAGAAACGACTGGGAAAGGCCCAGCGTCCCCTGAGCCCCGCCCCCGTCAGTTTCCTCCGTTCCCGGTGGAGTTTGGGGCTGCAGGAACCGAGCTCAGCCGTCAGCGATTCCTAAATCTTGGCATCTTTTAAAAAGATTTTACCGAACCAGGGCGGGATTTGAGGTTTTTTGTTTTTGTGGGGTTTTTTTTTGGTGAACTGGAAAGCCCTGCGAGTAGCACGATTCCGTTCACTTGTTTTCTTTCCCCAGAGACAACTGTCCAAGTGTGACTGGCAGAATTGGTGTGAAGCTCTAGGCGGATTTTCTAGGGCTCTGATTTTGGAAAAGAGGGACTAAAGCATTGTTCGTTGTGACTCTTGCGAATTTTTGTCCTATGCTAATGCTTATTTAAATTGCATCACCACAACGCAAAGCCATGATGTAATAAAAATGTAATTTATTTTCAGAATAATGAAGCTCTCTCTTTGACTTGCCTTAGCGTTTCATCCGTGAACAGTGAATGTGAAACCTAAGACTTGTGTTGTAGCACAATGCATTTATGAGCATCTACGGCGACTTCAGGGCCGTCGGGAAGCCAGTCATGGGACCGGCTGGTGCTCTCCAAAAGGGCTCATTTCTTCTCTACCTCTTCTTTCTTAGGTTCTTGTTTTAGCGTGTAATCGGCCAGAGCCGCAATGATTGCATCTTCAGCTAGGAAGAGAGAAGTGCAGTTCCATGCGGGCAAAGCAGAGTTCCTTAGCCATTTCTGTGCCATATCTGATAATCAAATCCGTTTCCAGGGTCTTTTCCTATCAGGGTCTTTAGACATATCTGAGGGTCAAAGCTTTTTCCAGAGTCTTTCCCAAAACTCCAGGCATTCGATGGATGATGAGCTGAAGCAACTGCAAAAGAGCTAACAATACAGTCTTCCCCCATTCATCTATGTGAAGCTGCCATTTCATCACATCACCACATGCTGGAGCCCTACCCGTGTCTCATCAAGGGAACCCACTCTTCTAGAGTTTCGTCATCATCAGCAATATGCTTGTCATAGAGCTGGCCCAGAGCTGACAGATTCCAGCCTGCACACAAGAAGTCCTAAACTGCCAGTCTCATTTACACTTACTTATTTGGCTAATCCACAGAGTAAGCTTAGTAAGTGCCCAAGGCATATGTAAGGCCTAAATATTTGTTAAAGTGAAGAAATGCTCAGAGAAGCAATGTTTAATCTTCAGTCACCTCTGTCTTTCCTTTCTCTGTCACCCCCAACATTCATCACACTGAAACTGGCATTGCCAATATGACTGAAATTATCTTTGTTGCTAAACCAAAAAAAAATGGTTTTAGGCTTTCTTAACTCTATTAACACTTCAAGCTTGCCTTTTAAAAAATTGTTTTCATTTTGCTAACGTGTCTTATTTTACCTTATTTTCTACTAATTAATAGTAAGAAGTAAATCATACCATAAAATTCCATTATTCTCATTAACTTTCCAAACCTCGTTGTTTATTCTTGTAATGATACAGGGACTCAAACCCAGAGCTTCCCACAGGCTTAACTACTAAGTTAAGCTTATATGGCCAGTTGCTGAGACACATCACAACCCTACCATTAACTTTTTAATATTGACATTCTTGAAGTACATTTTCTTAACACTCAATGTTTCAAATATTTCCTTTCGTATTAATGGCAGTCATTAATACACTTCTATTGTACCTCTGAATCTCCTGAAAGCTCTTGCTATTGTGCTGTATTCTCACAGAATGACAATAACTTCTATGTTTTACTAAATTTTTTTGCAGTAATATCTGGGTTAAATTAATTGAAAGTCTTTGCCATGTAATCTGATGGCATTTCTGTTTGATTCTAATAAGTATTTCAATTTATACAACCTTATTTCAATAAAACATCAATTTTATATAGTTTTAGGCTTAAAATAACTCAAATTTATAGCAAAATAATTTTAAATTGTTTATATAATATTATGCAATTTTTCAGTGCACATTAAGACAGTAAAATAGTATTGTGTATAGAAGATTGAGAAAAACACAAGTGCCCATTGAAAATCTTTCCCCTGAGTTTACTTATGTAACTTTTAGTGTCTGTCAGATTCAGTTCAGTGGCTGTTCTTTCTGAGAGAAATGCTAAGGAATATCTAGCAACAGAAAATTAGAGTTTAAAGCTAATTGATCATAATTACAGATTCCTGTGTGTCAGGTAATTCAAGGGCTAAGCATGAAGGGACAAAATTTCATTAGGAAGAAAAAAGCAGTCTGTTTGGATCATACCATGTGGCAGCAAAGCTATCACACTTTCAGTAAAAAGAGTACCATTGAGATAAATATTTTTGTTTCAATTTGGGGGCCACACCCAGCAGTGCTCAACAGTTATTCTTGACTTTGTGCTCAGGGATCACTCCTGGCTTGGCTCAGGGGACCATAAGCATATCGTACTGGGGATGGAATCGGGACTTGGCTGCATGTAAGTGCCTGAGCCTTGTAGTATCTCTGGCTATATAAAATAGGATATATTTTGCTTAAATTATAACAAAAATGGATATATGCTGATATTATAATATAGAGTAATAAATCTGCATTCACAATCTTGAATGTAAGGTTCCATTAAAAAAAAAATCTTTCACTAAGAGCTGCAGGTCTCTGGTAGAGAGTACCACAATCCCTAAGTAAATGGTAGTGTTGGTGTTTCTTTGCAGTGATGGTAATACCAACGGGGTGAGGAAGGACATAGCAGAGCTGGGGGGAGAGAAATTAAGGAGGAATTAACAAAATTTCATAGTATACACAACACAGAAGAGGTTTTCTTTTTGATGTGCTGTTCCCATTCACCCATTTCAAAAAAAAAATATCGATTTCACAGGGAAGGAATTGGTTTATACTCAGATTTATACAAATATGATGGAGGCAGGAAGATAAAAAATAATAAGAAGAGAGGCGCTGTAATAAAAGGTAGTTTAGTCAGCCTTTGGAAATGTTCAAGTAGAACGTTTATGTGATGAGTTTAGTGTTTCTTCTACATTTTTTATACCATGAAGTTATTTCTTAATGTATCCCACTATAGCACCCGCATCTAAAGCATGTTTTCCTTTATAATGGTAAAACTAAAAATTTGCGTGAAATATCTTTTGAAACGACAATGTTCTAGCTCTAAAATGTTGGAAGTTTCAGCAACACATAACAATTTGTTAGCCTGAGATTTCTGCCCTTTCTTTCCCTCTCTATTGAGTCATCAAAAATAGGAACAATTTCAAATCCTTTATGAAGAGAACTTTTAAAGAATACCAGGTTGATTAAAAGTCACATTAAAAAATTAATAATAATTCAGAACCATTTACTTCAGGTTCAAAATGCATTTTTAACACAAAGGAACATTTTGTGAATTTGTTAGATCTTTCTCAGTTAGTTGAAATAGAATCTGCATTAATTTACTTTGTTAATACATTTTCACAAGGAAATAGAAAAGTCTGTTTAATATTGTTCTCTTGATGAAAATTGATGGTATTTTATTCATTTTTCACTTGTGTACAAAGAAGTGATATTTTCTCTGGTGTAATGATAGTTTATCTTCCCTTCTCACAACTTTCCCACCAGTGATTGTATATTGTTAAGATGATAGGGTCACTGCCACTATGAATTTGAGAATAAAATATCTATGTTCGCCCTACTTTTATCTAATATTTGGTAGTGGAAAATTAGTTTAAGATATTTCTCTTATTATTAGAGCAAAATAGAAATGATTGCTGTATTTGAAAAACTTCAGTTTAATTTCTGTGGCATATTCGATATGCCCAAACCAGTAACAAGTCTCACAATGGAGACATTACTGGTGCCCGCTTGAGCAAACCGATGAACAACAGAAGGACAGTGCCACAGTGCTACAGTTTAATTTTGGTATTTTAACCTAGAAATGCTGTCAGAGTCTGCAAAAGAATTGAAGAGAAAGAGAGAAAAATGTTTTGACTTTTCTACTTATTTTCTTATGACGATGATCTAAATGGTT